GTTGCGGGCTTTTCAGGGTATGAATGGCACCTCGGAACGGATCATGTCCACAACTAGAGGTACCACTGTATTTTTGTTGGGAGCTGCCCAGAGTGTCTGGGGCAACCCAGTTAGATGGGTGGCATATAAATAAATTATTATTATTATTATTATTATTATTATTATTATTATTATTAGAGTTTGGATTTGATATCCCGCTTTATCACTACCCGAAGGAGTCTCAAAGCGGCTAACATTCTCCTTTCCCTTCCTCCCCCACAACAAACACTCTGTGAGGTGAGTGCGGCTGAGAGACTTCAAAGAAGTGTGACTAGCCTAAGGTCACCCGGCAGCTGCATGTGGAGGAGCGGGGAATCAAACCTGGTTCAGCAGATTATGAGTCCACCGCTCTTAACCACTACACCACATTATTATTATTATTATTATTATTATTATTATTATTATTATTAATTCAAAGGGCAGTGGTCATGCAAACTTACGAATTAGAATGCTTTCACAAACAGGGGTGTCTTTCCAACCCATCCTAAAAACCAAGAACACACACACAAATGCAAATTTCTTCGTCCAGGAGGCAGCGGTGGAGCAAGCCGATCAGGTGCCTAGGGCGGCACACATGCTGCGCACCCGGGGGTGAGGCCAGCCACTCATGGGGGCAGGACACTCAGCGGAGCGGGGCCTCCAAGGAGTCTGCCTGCCTCCTCCCACTCAGCCGTCCTACAGCTGAGGGGGAGGCGGTGGGCGGACCGTTTGGGGCAGAGCGGAGCCTGCGGGTAACCAAGCCACTGCATCACTCCCAGGAGAGACACGTGGCTCTGGCGCGCTGCAGGCCCCACAGTGAGGGCCACCTGGCATTTTGTTACACACCCCCAGTGGTGACACCCGGGCCAGCCTGCCCCCACTCCACCCCCTTCCTCTGCCCCTGCCAGGAGGTCCTACTGCAAGGCTAAGAAACCTTTTTCTTTCTTTTTTCTTTTTTAAAAAATATTTTTTATTGAATGATTTTATGTTACAGAAAACATTACAACCATGCTACCACAAAATATAATTGAGAAATAAAAATTACATACATCAATATTTTGTTTGTTATGTTATTTACCGTCTTATTTCCTCCCAAACATTCCATACAAAACACACACACGCAGAGAGACAAAAAAATAGGAAAAAATAATGATGGAAATGATTATTTTTTCCCCTTTTATCTTACAAAATCTTTTCTTCAATTTTGACTTCCTGTCAAGTCCCTTCACATATGTTTTATCTTACAATTGAATGTACCCAAAACAATAAACCTTTCCAAATTAAATTTCCAGTACATTCAGAAAACATAATAAATCCTTAATTGTTATCCACCTCCTTTTACTTCCTTTGTCACTTGAATGCTAGCACGGAGTCAAAACTATTATTGTACATATCTTCTATGTGGATTGCCCTGTGGAACGCCCTCCCATCAGATGTCAAAGAGATAAATAATTACCTGACATTCAGGAGACATCTTAAGGCAGCCCTGTTCAGGGAAGTTTTTAATATGTAACCCTGTACTGTTTTTAACACTGATTGGGAGCCGCCCAGAGTGGCTGGTTAAACTCAGCCAGATGGGCGGGGTATAAATAATAAATTATTATTATTATTATTATTATTATTATTATTATTATTATTATTTAACCATCCCATTTCCCCACAAATTTTTGCTTTGAGTTTCCTCTGAGTTTGCTAGTCAATTGAGCCACCTCCACAAATTCCTGTAATTTGATTTGCCAATCTGTTATTTGCAACCTGAAGGTCCCTTGCCTTCAGGGACCCCGTTCGTCCAGGGGCCACCTGCCAGTGGGGGGGAGGGCCCAGAGCAAATGTGGGTGGGGCCAGGAGTGAAAGTGAACAGAGCAACAGATGCGACTCTTTCCTTTGCATAGATATCTCATAAATCAGAGTTGGAAGGGACTTTAAGGAGCATCTAGTCCAACTACCTGCAATGCAGGGATATGAAGGTGCCCCTTTACGGGGATCGAACCTGCAACCTTGCCATTGTTAGCACCATGCTGTACCCAACAGAGCAAAATCCAGAGTTTCCTGCCCACCAGTCTTGATCCAGACATTATCACAGCTCAAGGGCACATTCCAGCCAGGCCAAGGCACTCGAGGCAGGTGTGGAGCAGGGCTGCTGGTGAGAGTCCCAAGGGCCAGATACAAGGGCCCAGGGAGCCACATTCACCCTCTCAGGCCCCGAGGTTACCCAATCCCTGCTCTGCTGTCACTTGAGGAGATTGCACAAGAGAGATCTCCCTGTAAATTGCACCAAGGCATCATTGATGGTTTACGGGATACGTCTGCATTCCTGGTTCATGAGATATCTGCTCTGAAGTGCAGTTAGGAGCACCGCTTATGTTTTGGTTGTATTGTTCCGTGGCTTGTTTTCCTGTGCTGAATCATTTTGCTTTCTCCACACCACCAAGAAAATAGAATACCAACGAGGATGTCAATGAGAATGAATATTCCCCAGGAGAACAGCTGGGTTTTCAAAAGCATTTCATGCACTTATTGCAACTCTGCCTCAAGAACAACATGGGCAGAGTTTCAGGACAGAATCATTAGCAGTTGCATACAGAAGTACACAGTCCTTGAGGAGAATCCATAACTCAGAGGTAGATCCTAAGCTATGGATGCAGAATGTTGCAGGTCCTGTCCCAGGCATCTCCTGTTAAAAGGATCTAAAGGATCAGGGCTGAGGAAGACCCTGGAGAGACACTGCTATTCAGATGAAACAATATTGGCATAGAACAGTCTTCCTTGCCCTAGTGCTATGGACTACAACTTCCACCAACCCCATCCAGTATGATCAAGGGTCAAGGATGATGGGAGCTGTAGCCCTACAACTTTCAGAGAGCCTTCCCTAAGTTGAATCTATGCTGGCTGGAGTTGATGGGAGTTGTAGTCCAGAACATCTGGAGAGCACTTGGTGAGGGCTGCCCTAAAGGGACTCCGCAGAAACTAGTTTCATATGTTTTCTAGCAGAGGTCGCCAATGGATGCGGTTGCACTGCGGAGATCTTCCCCCAAAGTGCCTGAGCTTTTCCACCCACTGCCCCCTTGGCCATGAGGGGCTGAAGTTACCCTTGCCTCCCTACATCGAGATGAAACAGGAAGTTGTAAAATGGACTAGGGTTACCAGATGTCACCGGTTCCCGGGGACAGTCCCCAGGTTTGCAAATCTGTCCCCGGGAAACATGGCAGCGGCAGCCTCAGCAGCCCAGAGCCGGCCTGGTAGCACAGTTGGCTCTGGCTGGCTTCAGGAGCTGCTCGCTGCCCACTGACATGGCGCCCGTCATTTTTACTTGCTGGATCTTCCTGTGAGGAAAAATGGCAGGCGCCACTCAGCGAGCAGCTCCTGAAGTCAGCCAGAGCCAACTGCACTACCAGGCTGATTCCGGGATGCTGACTGCAGTTGCCGCCACCGCCACTGCCGAAGGGGAACCGGGGACGTCTAGCGGTACAGATCTCCTGCCCCCTTCCCTCTTTGTTTTGACTGATCGGGGGAGGCTCAGGAGTTGCAGGCGGGCGGCCGTTGCTCAGTTTTTTTAAAAAAAACCTATGCGCATTTATGTTTCACAGGGTGCAAAAGAAGGGCTTTGCACCTTATGTCGAGGTCCCCAAGCCACCGCCCAAATAACTCACAACACACACTTAATTTTTGTTTAAGGTTTTTGGCATAATTTTGGCCACAACTTTATTTAAATACAAAACCGTGAATGGTTGTTTCGGCATTGGTTAAGACTATCTGTCCCCCCGCCTGGGGGCAGAACTGACTTCCGGGCACCACCAAAAGACAGTGCGGGGGAAAGCAAGTCGGGGAGAAATGGAGCTGAGTCACAGACCCTCACTTCTCATCTCATATTATTATTATTATTATTATTACTTCTCATCCGCATGCTCCCCGAAGGCTTGCCGGCCCTAGTCCCATTCCAGGGATTGGACGAAAAGATGGCAAGCCCCAGGATTCCTTTAACAGAATTCCCTTTCCGCAGCAACCATGGAGGGGCAGGCCCAGACTATCCTAACCCCTCCTCCACCAATTTATAACCAATGCCTAACCGCAACCTTACAAGTTGTGACAATTTGCTACGCAGTAGGCAAAAACCAAATGGCCCAGCCAATCTGCCAGATGGACAAAATTCCTACCAGGCCCCTGCCCCAACGGCAGACAACCCCATGACAGGCATAGCAAGGTCAATGCAACAACCCCTTACTCAAGGGCGGGTGGGCGGGTGATCCGTTGCACGCAGCAAAGAGAAAGCTCCAGGCTGTGTGCAGAGTATTTAAACATTTTACCCCTCCCACCAAAATTGCAACATAACTTTTACCCCAGCAACCCAGTGAACCAATCACTGCCCCAGGCCATCTTTAGAGACCCTGCCTGGTAACAGAGGGGTGGCTCAGCAGACCCCACCGCAACACATGCTCTCCATGAAGGAGAACACGCTTTATACAATATGTATGTGTGCTTGGGCCCAGGGTCTTTTGCCTCTCCATCCCCACTGCTGACTCCCTGTTGCTACTCAGCTTCAAAAAGAAAAAGGGGGGGTCCCTGGATTCATTGAAAAAAATCTGGTAACCATACCCTTACCCACTTCCTCTTTCAGCTCTATGGTTCTGTCCAAGGCACAGATTGGAAAAAGTGAAGTTTGTGTGTGTTAGCCTTCCGTCTTTCTGTCTCTTGTGGGGTGTGGGGGCTGATCCAGAAGAGGCGGGTAAACCAGAGCACGTGGCACCCATGGAAGTTGCTCAAAGTTCCAGGTGTTCCAATGGGTCCCAAAAGATCGGTGACCTGTGTTCTCTGTGTTTCTTTGTGCCTGTCTAGTAAAGAGCAGTGGGATCAAATGTGGATGCTAAATATTAGGTCTCTCAGTCCTCATTGGGTTTTTCGCTTCCTTGCCAAACGGGAACAGACACAAATAATTGGAGCACCCACATCGTTTCACAAAGGGCACTTTCTCTTTATCTCAACAGGAGACTGGCTCGCTCCACCTTGCTACTTATTCCACTGTTTGGGATTCATTACACGGTGTTTGCCTTCTATCCAGAGAATGTCAGCAAGAGGGAGAGGCTGGTCTTCGAACTGGGACTGGGATCTTTCCAGGTGAGTATGCATCAAAATGGGGACGCGGGTGGCGCTGTGGGTAAAACCACAGAGCCTAGGATTTGCCGATCAGAAGGTCGGCGGTTCGAATCCCCGCGAGGGGTGAGCTCCCGTTGCTCGGTCCCTGCTCCCGCCCACCTAGCAATTTGAAAGCACGTCAAAGTGCAAATAGATAAATAGGTACCACTCCGGCGGGAAGGTAAACAGTGTTTCCGTGCACTGCTCTGGTTCGCCAGAAGTGGCTTAGTCATGCTGGCCATGTGACCCGGAAGCTGTACGCCAGCTCCCTCGGCCAATAAAGCGAGATGAGCGCCGCAACCCCAGAGTCAGTCACGTCTGGACCTAATGGTCAGGGGTCCCTTTACCTTTACCTTTTATGCATCAAAATAGCCTGTGTCCATCTGCCTTCCGGCTCATCCACCCCAGATAAGGAGAGGGGAAGGACATATCTCAGTGGTAGGATTATGGTAAATGTAAAGGACCCCTGGTTGTTTAAGCCCAGTCACATTTGACTATGGGGTGCAGCATTCATCTCCGCTTTTAGGCCGAGGGAGCCGGCGTTTGTCCACAGACAGCTTGTCCGATTCATGTGGCCAGCATGACTAAACCGCTTCTGGTGCACAGACCACCGTGATGGAAGCCAGAGCACACAGAAACACAATTTACTTTCCCGACGCAGCGGCATCTATTTATCTACTTGCACTGATATGCTTTGGAACTGCTAGGTTGGCAGGAGGTAGGACAGAGCAATGAGACCTAACACCATAGCGCAGAATCGAACTGCCAACCTTACAGTTGGCAAGCCCCAGAGGCTCGGCGGTTTAGTCCACAGTGTGTCTGCTTTGCATGCAGAAGGCCCCAGATTCAATTCCGAGTGACTTTCGGCAGGTTGGAGATAAGTAACTATACAACCTCTAGAAGACATCTGAAGGCAGCTCTGTATAGGGAAGTATTAAAAAATATATATTTCATTATGTTTTTATATAATCATTGGAAGTTGGAAGTCGCCCAGTGTGGCTGGAGTAACACATTCAAATGGGTGGGGTATAAATAATAAAAATCATTATTACTATGGAAAAGGACGTCCCTATTTTCATTAGAGAAATGTTGGCAGGTATGTAAGAGTAGACCCATTGAAATGAATGGACATGGCTAACTTGGGCTTATGAGTTTCAGTAGGTTTGCTTTAGTTGGCTCTTTTTCGCCTGCAAAGAAGAAAATGGTCAGCAACAGGAGATTTCTGCTAGTGTGTGCAATTTCCCCCTGCAAGTGTACCTTCAATTGCTTTTTCTGCGGCTGGCTCCTTCCGTCAAGAAGCAAACCAGAGCAGCCATAAGTCTGCGCACAGCCGCTCCACTACCTCGTGGCTCTCTTTTCTCTTCCACCTAGTCTACGTTCATACCACACATTCAAAGCACTATGATACCACTTTGAGTACTTGTGGCTGCCCCAAAGGATTCTGGGAGCTGTAGTTTGTTAAGGGTGCAGAGGGTCATTAGGGGAGACCTCTAGTCCCCTCCCAGAGCTACAATTCCCAGAGTTCCCTTGCAAGAGGGGTTGATTGTTAAACCGCTCTGGGAATCATAGCGCTGGGAGGATAATTATGTTTAATGTTTAATGTTTAATAGACCATTGTATTTTAATATTCTGTTGAAAGCCACCCAGAGTGGCTGGGTAAACCCAGCCAGATGGGCGGGGTATAAATAATAAATTGTTGTTGTTGTTGTTGTCTCTGCAACTTTTTTACACCACAGATGCTCTCAGGATGGCAGGGCAGGGGGCATTCCTGGTCTTGCTGCTCCACAGCAGACATTTCAACTGAATTCTGATGTTATAGTTTTAGCTGATTTTTTTTACCTTTATTATATGGGGGTTAAAGGTACACTGCTTAGGAGGTCCCAGGAACCAAGCGGCATATAAATTGTCGAAATCAAATAAAGAACGGCCCTCTAGGTGGCAATAGTGCTGTGACACTGAAGCATCGCAGAACAACTAATGAAATGGAATGATGTGCAAATCCATCAGTCATGCTCTACTATTGCGTCAGTGAAACGTTGCAGAATACGTCCCCTCTCCCCCCCCCAATAAACACACCCCAGCAGTTTGTGCAGAGTGAGAACCTGCAATTTTCACTGCATCTGTGTGGGAATCGTTCAGGGAAGCAGGAGAGGATATATTGTTTATTAATATCCTTCCTAACTTGCGCTAGCAAGTTCTATAACTTAGCAGAGTTTTAACAATCCCCTTTAAAAGCACAGCGGATAGCTGGTGGCAAGCTTGTTTGAGCTTCTCAATATAGATTCCTGGTAAGACCCCTTAAAGGTAAAGGTAAAGGTACCCCTGCCCGTACGGGCCAGTCTTGCCAGACTCTAGGGTTGTGCGCCCATCTCACTCAAGAGGCCAGGGGCCAGCGCTGTCCAGAGACACTTCCGGGTCACGTGGCCAGGGTGACATCGCTGCTCTGGCGAGCCAGAGCCGCACACGGAAACGCCGTTTACCTTCCCGCTAGTAAGCGGTCCCTATTTATCTACTTGCACCCGGAGGTGCTTTCGAACTGCTAGGTTGGCAGGCGCTGGGACCGAGCAACGGGAGCGCACCCCGCCACGGGGATTCGAACCGCCGACCTTTCGATCGGCAAGCTCTAGGCACTGAGGCTTTTACCCACAGCGCCACCCGCTTTAAGAGGGAACCCCTTAGTTCCCTCTTAAAAGAATAAACACACCACAATCTTATTTAAGATATATAAAAGTAGTTTACTCACATCATCAGTTCACAGTTGGATCCCTGAAGGCAGACTTAGTTAGAGATATATATACATGTGGATCTACCCCATATGGGTGGTTAATCCCAGTGACTGCAGACTGCAGACTGGCAGTTCACACAACGAAAGGAAAATGGAGAAGAAGGAAGGAGGGCTTGTGCTTTTGTTACCTGGACAGGTAAGGTCATGCCCACCTCTGGTTACATGCAAGAGGAAGTATGTCCCAGCCCAGGAGGAAACAGGAAGTTTTCGACTGGCTGGTCCAAACATCCCCTTGCACGTCCACTCTAGGAAAACAAGGAATGTTGTACTTGACTGCTACTTATGTATCACATCCCACAATCTGAACAGCTGCCTGTTCCTCTACTCTTCCCTACAGGGCTTCGTGGTCGCTGTACTCTACTGCTTCTTGAATGGGGAGGTAAGACTTTTGATAGAATCATAGAATTGTAGAGTTGGACCTTGGGTAAACCCAAGCAACGCCGTCCAGGTCCGGTCCCGAATCTGAGGGTTCCGTGAGGAGTCAGTCTGACAGGGCCAAGGCAGGAAACAAAACAAGGCAATGTCAGGCACAGGGTCACAGGCAGGTTCTAGCAAACAGCAATGTTGCTCCCGCAACCTGGGGCAGGGTCCGACAGCCTTTTACTTTGTCGGGGTAACGGCCGGTCCTGATCCCCCGGTGACTCACCTCCCTGTCTTGCCCAGAGGCGAGCACTCCTCCTGCGAGTACTCAGGTCTCTCCTTCTCTCAGACCTGAGTCTCTGCAGCTCAGGAGATATTGGTGGGTTACTGGACCCAGGGGCTGCCTTAGCCTCTCCTGACCCAACCGGTAGTGGAGCAGCTGTAAGTGATTGCCCAGCTGGAGGCAACGAGGTAATCTGGAGTCAGGGCAGGCTCAGGCCCCTGACTCAGCTCCGCTGGTGCTTGTGGCAGGGGAACCTGTGCAGACTGGGGCTCTTCAGAATCAGGCCTCAGACTTGCTTCAGGTTCCGCCTGAGCAGAGGATCCAGTGTGGACTGAGACTCCTCTGGTTCTGAGTCTGAGCCCGAGTCCCAGGCCATCACACTGAGCGTCATCTAGGTCAACCCCTGCCCTACAAGAATCTTGCAATGCAAGAATCTTGACTGAAGCCTCCATGACAGATGCCCACAAACTTTTTCCTCCTTCCTTCTCCAAATGCATAGCCTGGTTCCTGCTTGCATCTTCCCCTTCCATTCTGGGTCTCTACAACCATTCACTGCCTAATCTACCCCCGGTGGGCTATGACCCACCAAGCTTTGGTGGCCCTCTGGAGAGGCATCATCCATTGCAATGTACAAAGCAATAATAATAAATGAGAGGTCGCCCACAGCCCACAGTGTGTGTAGCAAGTTGCATGGGACTCTTTGGGTCCTGACCATTGTTTAGCACCTTCTGATGCTTTTGTTGGAGGCTGTAGGTCTCTTGGAATCAAAGTGGACAGTTGCACTCAGATCCTTATTTTGGGCTCCTTGTAAGTGTTGGGAAAACGCCTGGGAATGGCTGCCAACTTCCCAAGTTTTTGGGGCGTCTCTCCGGTGGTCCTCTCTGGCTATAAATCTCCCTCAGTCCAGACGACCCTTCTCTCCTGAAAAGAGCTCACCAGTCTTCTTTCTGGCATATCATAGCAGAAGAAAGACTCAATCGCAGTTCTAAAACTACTTTATTTACACTCTTATATACAGAGACTCCATCAGTACGTCTGTGCTCTCTGAACACCAGTACAGAAAACCAGCGACACACACAGAAGTGAAACTAAACTTCCAATAGTACTCAGAAGGAAGAGATAATACAGACTTCCTTTCTCACGCTCTCTCAGACACTCACATGATGCATTCAATCATAGTACCACTCGCTGGAGCAGCTCGGATAGATAAAAATCCGAACAGTAAGCAACTGGGAGACTGTCTTATCCCTTATCCATTCAGTAGATCACTGTGGCCTGCAGGAGAGCTTTTCTTCTAAGTTCTTAAGATCTCGGAAGCTCATTCCGCAGTAACTCTGAGCAGGGCCTTTAATATGGCTACCCCAGAGCTGTGGAATAACGTTCCTTTCGAGATAACACAGGTGCCCTCTATCTGCACTTTCCAGAAACGATGGAAGACATGCATGTTCCAAGAGACTAAATGAGGTTATACCACGAGTGTCTAACTTGTTAGAGTTTAAGACTTGCTAGTCACATATATGCTGATTTTGTGTTAAATTATGTTACGCGTAAATCGCCTTGAGATGGTGGTTTAGAAGGCAAGTAATAGATCAATGATGACAAAAATTGATTTTAAGAAAATATGGCTGCCCACTATGAGCATAAGATGCTGGAATCGGTAGTGGCGCCCGCCCTGTGGAACGCCCTCCCATCAGATGTCAAAGAGATAAACAACTACCTGACATTTAGAAGACCTCTGAGGGCAGCCCTGTTCAGGGAAGTTTTTCATGTGTGACATTTTAATGTATTTTTTAATCTTTGTTGGAAGCTGCCCAGAGTGACTGGGGAGACCCAGCCAGATGGGTGGGGTACAAAATTATTATTATTATTATTATTATTATTATTATTATTATTATTATTGAATAGGATCCAGCCACAGAGCTCTTCTTGCATTCTTACCGCTTCTGCGTTTTGTTGAAAGAAAATTAAAAATATAGAAACTTCTGTCAGCATGTTCCCAAGCGGCTAAGTACATTAAAAAATGACCTTTTAAAGTTTCTCCCTAAAGGTGCAGTCAGAAATAAAGAGGAAATGGAGGAGCTGGAAAGTCAACCGGTACTTTGCTGTGGATTTCAAGCATCGCCACCCTTCCCTAGCAAGCAGCGGTGTGAACGGGGGGACGCAATTGTCCATTCTGAGCAAGAGCAGCTCACAGATTCGAATGTCGAGCATAAATGCGGAGAACCTGGCGACATGAGCGCATGAGCCATCTTCCTTCCCCTCCCCAAAGGGGGTGGGGAGGGGAGAGAGAGAGAAATCTCCTTTTGGAAACGAAACAACATCAACAACAACAAAAAGGTCATAATTAATTTTGGTGGTGTGGGGTGGTTGTGTCTGTCTCTGTGTTTTGTTTTAAAAGAAAAAAAAGCACCCACCTCCCTTTTATTAAAAAAAAGAGAGGGAGAGAAACGAAGTCGTTCTGGAAGCATGAGACGTCATCCCTGAGGGGTGGAAGATAAGGCATTGGAGAGGATTGTAAATATGCAACTGAGATCATCCGGACCAAAAAAAAAAAGAAGGCATTCAACTCATCCACCATCTCAGCACGCTGCAAATAATTCCATTGTCGGCCTGCCATTTTTGGTGATTGTCCTCTGTCCCATTGTGAATTTTGAGTGCCAAGCTGATACCTGTGAATGAACCATGTATATTCATCTCCAATGCATCTCCCTCTGTCTTGGGCTAGTCTCCGCATCCTCTTTCATGACATAGAATGTAGCCTAAATTCTTCAGTGGATGCACGACCAACCTTGATGAGATGATGTTCGTGATGGATCCCACCAGTGGCTGCCCAAGTGTGAGGCATTCAGTGAGGTTCTGCAGAACTGCGCCATGTGGACAGCAGCCACTCGATGGTTGGAAAAGCCATGCCAAGCGAAAATGGAGCCAACCGGTGTATTCCGTCCTCCAGGAATGTATTAGAAAGCTTCTGTTATGCTGTGAATTTTCTAAAAGGGTCGTCCAAGTTAAGATAGAGCTATATTTTTGAGGTTGATGGGGGAGGGGCTTCTTTTTTTTAAAAAAAGTGGAAAATATCTATCTATATATCCCCCACGTTAAGTCTACATGAATTCCTTGAAGGTCAATTCCTCCGGACTACATGCAAAACCTTCTCCACTGATACATTTCCACAGAAATAAGGATGTAACTGGTAGTTGTGACCCCCGACGGCACAAGTTGGTTGTGTGCCCCACAAACTGTGGGGCTTTTGCTGCGCCAGGGTTCACGTCAAAAGGGCTAGGCAATTTTTGTGGGTTCTACATAGCTAAAACAGGGGGGTCCATTTGGGTGGGTCGCATAAGGTCCAAGATCCAATGCTGTGGCCAAGAAATAATATAGACTTTGGAAGTGGGGAAACTTGTTTTTAGATTGAGGCACTTCCCACGCCCCCCAGGGGAGAGTTTAGTTTGTTTAGGAAATCATTAATGCCTTCAATATAGGTTTGAGTGGGGAATTTCTTCCTCGCTCCCACCTTCTAGTCAGAGCCACAACCGAAACATAGCTACTTCAGCCGAATTAAAACAATGATGTCAATTCTCAGGAGACTTTGTGCATTGCATGAAGGCCTCTGGACTTTTTATCGTTCCTCTGTGAGTTGTATGAGCCTGTCTTAGATGTTCCTGATCCTCTCTAATCTTTTAATGTGAGTGTGTGAGCTTGCCTGTGTGTGTACATTAGAGAGGGGGGGAAATGTTGCTATTTTGTTAACGAATGCAAGCTGAGGCCAAGAAAGTTGCAACGAAAGGGCTGGTTCTTTCTCCTTTGTTTAAATGAACGGGGTTTTTAAATAATAAAATAAATAGAGTGTTTCAGAGGGGGTGGGGATGGGGTGGAGAAGAAGAAGTGGACCATAAGGTGGAGCAGGGAGGGATGGGGAATTTGACTCTGCGGATGTTGATGGACTACAATTCCCATCGTTCCCAACCTGCCTGAGGTTGATGGGAGATGGAATCCAACCACATACAGATGATCATCTAGAACAGGGTTGGCCAACTCCCGAGAGACTGTGATACTTTCAGAATTAAAATCTGGGTTCAGGTCTAAGTTGTTGAGCATTCTTTAGGGAGGAGGAAAGCCCCATTTTTAGACTTCCTTAGGAGGGAAGTTCTGGGTTTTTTTTTGGGGGGGGGTTAAAGGCAAGGGTCAAAGGGGGGAAAGTCACTCACAATAATATCTCTTTGAATGAAAGCAGCCACAGAGAGAAAGCTCCATCTTCCCTTCCACTGATCAGACAACAATGGAAGGTGGGGCGAGGGTGCGGGGCAGGAGTCAGTTTCAACGACACTGAGGAAAGGGAGCCAGAGATTGACCCGCGATCTACCAAAACCTCGCAGGGATCTGCCAGTAGATCGCAATCGACCTGTTCGACATCCCTGACCTAGAACATACAGAGGACCATAGGCTCCCCATCCCTGAGCTAGAGCTTGATCTGTACATGTTGAGTAGCACAATCTGCTCCTTCATCTTACATGGGGGAAGGGCCATAGCTTAGTGGTAGAGCATCTGCCTTGAAAGCAGAACATCCCGGGTTCAATCCCCAGCATCTCCAGGTAGGGCTGGCAGGGACCCCTTGCCTCAAATCCTGGAGAGTCGCTGCCGCACAGTGTAGACAGCACTGGGCAAGATAGAGCTGGAGCAATGGTCTGACCCAGTTCAAGGCAGCATCCTGTTTTCCTGTGTTCCTAATCTCATGCCATGCATGGACCAGTTTGTCAGCTTCAACACACATTAGCTGCCATCTTGGCTCCAGTGTGCATGGAAAAGAAGCTCCAGGAGAAATAGCTTTGCACACCTTGTGCATCAGGATATCCAACACAGCCCGCTGGCTAAGCAAGGAACAGCCACAGTGGTGCCCTCTGGGTGATAATGAACTACATTGACCATCATCCTTAGCCATTGGCTGTGCTGGCTGTGCCCACTGGGCATTGTAGTCCAACCATCCTTGAAGGGCACCAGGTTAGCTGCTACCTCTGGGCTGGGCCATGTATGGTGGCCCATCAGGTCCTCCACAACCTTGTCCTTCCCTTGTTTGGCCAGGTGGTTTATCAAGTCCCATTTGGCTCAGTGGGTCACCAGTTGTGTTGAGAACAATGCATGAGTTCCTTTCGGTATCAGAGAGAGCTGGGCATAAACACTCCTTGTCCCCATGCAGTCTTCTAGTGGCATCAAAGGGGGAAGGGAGGTCCCGATTAGCATTGAGCCCTCTGGGTTTCTGGAAAGAGTAGTCACCTCTTAGGAGCCTTGACTGCAAAGTCTCCTCGCTGCCACCTCCAACCCACCACTACAAATGGGATGGTTGTCGCAGGCTGAAAGTTACCTGCTTGCATATCCTTGCATAGCACCTAACAGATTCCTCCAGCTGCCAGCATGGAGGTGGGTTGGACACTACCTCATGGTAATTGTAGCCATCGCATCTTAGCAGAGCAACCATGGGGTGAAACAAAACTGACTGGGATCCAGAAGGGTGTTGCCCCATTTGGCAGGGGGTTGGACTTGATGGCCCTTGTGGTCTCTTCCAACTCTATGATTCTATGATTCTATAATTCTATGACCAGCCCTGGGGGCGAGAGAAGCAAAGGCATCAGGGGCTCTTCCCCTTCCAATGACTGGATTGTGGCCACTGTGTACAAAAGCTCCTTTCCCTTCTTTCTGGGATTTTGTTCGCTCACGTCGTGATGTTGTGTGAAATGTATTTTTTTCAATATATATCTATAAATCGTTTGTTTGTTTTTTAAAGACATGAGCAAATGGATGTGTCCATTTAGACCAGGGGTCAGCAACCTTTTCCAGCCGTGGGCCGGTCCACCGTCCCTCAGACCATGTGGGGGGCTGGACTATATTTTGAAGAAAAAAATGAACGAATTCCTATGCCCCACAAATAACCCAGAGATGCATTTCAAATAAAAGGACACATTCTACTCATGTAAAAGCACACTGGTTCCTGGACCGTCCGCGGGACGGATCGAGAAGGTGATTGGGCCAGATCCGGCCCCCGGGCCTTAGGTTGCCTACCCCTGATTTAGACTGTATTCACACGACAGTTTATTCTGCTTTCATTGTGTTTCCTTAACTGTTAATTATATTTGAGCCACTTCCAGGAATATAGAATAAGTTTAATGCTCATTTCCATGTTATTTGCAAATAGATCCCCCCCCCCCGGAAGTAAGTAACAGGGAAATGAGCACCAAAGTCGCACTATACTCCACGATATTTCTGAAATTGAAAGCTCATACTGTATGGAAGCTCTTGCGGAATGAAGAAATTAACAGTTAGGGAAACATGAGGAAAATGGAATAGACTGCCATGTGGATGGCGCATTGTGTTCTATTCCTGGAAGTGGCTTTTGAAGCTCAAACATAATGTGAAAATTAAGTTAGGGAAACCTCATGGAAATGGAATAAAGGCGGCTTCCTATGTTCCTATCTGGATTGGGTTCACGTTCCACCAAGTCACAAAGAAGTTTTAAATCACTGCAAAATTGGCAGTTCATTCTGAACTGTGAATGAAAGCAACAGTTATTTCTTTCAGATGGATCTCAGATCTGTTCCCAGTTGTGATGGTGCATGGGACCAAAAAACAAAACAAAACCCTATAAGTAATAAACACAATTTATATCATCCAGAGCTTCTTGCTCACTATGATGCATGCATAGTGACTTGCCCATTTGCTTCAATAGAGGGGGTAGTTCTGAGAGTCCATCCCTGGTTTTGCACAGATAGATCCGTCCTTTCCACAGAGGTAAAACGAGAAGCCCTTGTGTGCAGGAGGTCTGTGCCTGCAACTGAGCTTCTGTGCCAAACAACTGAAATTGCCAAGATTCCAGAACTGGCAACGGAGCAAATTTCAACCGTTCCATAGGATCTCCCAAGATTCAATGGACTGGATGTTTGCCCGTACGCCGCAACCAGTCAATTGCACTGGTATCAAGGGATTATTTTGCTCAGATTGCACAGGGATCGCTGCAGCAAATTGCCAGGGATCCATTGAGAAGAATGGCCAAGGTTTTGAAGGCGTCGATGGAAGCAATAGGCACTCATTGAGTGCCAAAAGAAAATGTTGCCAGGGTCGAATGGCGGTCTGTGTAGCATAGGCACCAGTGGAGAAAAAGGTTCCAGTTCTATTGGCACCCATGGAGAACGTGGCCCAGATTGTATCTCAGAAAGACTGCAAAGACCTTGTGGCTGCTTAGGACAACAGGCAGGTAACTCTGCATGTCTGGAATCTTGAAAGGCTCCCTCCTTTAAATGGCAGACGAGAGGTGGCTGGGTTGCTCAGACCCCTTGTATTTCCAGGCCAGACCACACACACACCCCTGGTCAAACTCAAAGCACAGGTGAAATTTGGCAAAAGGAAGGGGTGATGTTATCGTCACTGCTGATTCTGAATGTAAGCAGGTTATCTTATGGTGTTGACTCTTAAGCTGGCAATCGTTCTTATCAACTGAAAGGGAAGGTTTAGGAAGAAATGTCTTCGTCTGCTTGTTATGGATATGAATACCATTTAACTTTATTGCCCACCCCTTCACTCTAAGGTCCCAGGGTAAGCTGCAACAATTAAAACACAATGTCACCAACATTTGTGAAAAACTTAAATTTGCAAAAAAAAATAAGGGCGTCCTAAAAATATGCACCTCGGGTGTCAAAAGTTTGGTGCATCTTCAGCATTCATCAAAATCCTTTTGACACCCGAGACTCATTTTTCTATATCTTTGAATTCAAACTTGCCAGATTTGTTTTTTCCATGCCGGGCCATGAACAAAGACACTTTCGAAATGATCACTTCTCTCAATTTTGTGTTGCAACCAATGTGCACATGTGCACAATTGGGTGCATATCAGTCAAAAGAGCATGCAAAACTATGATAGTGACAATAGCATACGAAAATGAATTCAGCTAATGGAAAACTGCAATTCATGTAATAGGCTGGAATTTCTATAACTCTCTGTACTTGAGGAGAAATGGGTGCAAAAAAAAGTGTTTATGAATTTTCATATTCTGATATGGAAATGGAGCAAGCTGAATTTAAGATTAGAAAAATGAGGAACTGGTAGGAAATTAAATTTACCATCCATCCCTAGGGGTAACTAGAGAAGATAGACAGCTGAAGAGTTGACAGCAGGAGACAAATTCACCCCCAAGCAGCAGTAGTGATGATCTGATTTCCCCTCCAGCCCATGCTGCCCCCATGATTGAAGGTGCCCTAAAGAATATCCCCTCCAGTAGGCCTTTTCCACCAGTGGCGTGCCTGAGTGGATGTACTTGCTGGCAGAAGTGGGTCACAGCCATTCGGATACTCTGAGCTGCACTGGGTGGCTGGATCTAGCCACCAGTGAAATTCCCCACGATGTCTGAGTGTGACGCTATGTTGGTGGCATTGTGGGAAATTTAAACCCAGCTGACTGGTGTTGCTCAGAGGGTCAGGCTGGAGGCACCAATGCTTATGAATACCAGTTGCTGGGGGCCACAGGAGACAAGAGAGGGCTCTTGTGCTTGAATCCTGCTTGCGGGTTTCCCATAGGCACCTGGCTAGCCACTGTGAGAACAAGATGCTGGGTTAGATGGACCTTTGGCCTGATCTAGCAGGCTCTTTGGGACGCGGGTGGCGCTGTGGGATAAAGCAGGATTTCGAATCCAAACTCTTCTTCATTATCCTCTCTAGCTTTCTCAGTGTTGACATCTGTGTCAACAGCAGCAGTAACTAGTAGCCAGGCTGGCAGGAGGACCTTGTCAAGACTCCTTCGGCATCACCAGAGCAAATTGCCAAAACAAAACCCCCACCAGCACCAAACAGGCAAAACTCCTTTGATGCCCCAGTGGAGAACGTTCTTGAGTGTCCAGCTGAACTACGCCAAGGAAGGAACTGCCTCCAGGGAAGTCCATTTGTTTAGCTTGGGTTTTGAAGGGGAAAGATGAAATGCAAGGCCTTGTCCTGAATGATGCCCGTTAGCCACAGGAACTCCAGGGATGGGAAGTCAGGCAAGCCCATGCCCTGCTAACCTCTCCCATTGCACAGGTCTTCCACCGCTTGTGATGGTGGAGCAGTTCAGTTGAATGAAAGGACAGGAGAGGTTGCCATTGCCACTCTTCCCAGTGCGTCCCTGACCCAGTCAAATTTGGCAGAATGTCTCCTATGACCTCAATGAAATTGTCACCCCAATTTTTGCAGCCATACAGTAGGACCACAGCAGTGTGCTGGCAGTTCCAGATCAGCATCAAGAGTGACCAAATAGTCAATAAATTGGAAGACACAATGTGTTTTGGAGATTGGGGGTTGGGGTTTTGCATACTGAAGCAGGATGGATTCTTAGTGGTTGAGGTCACCCTGCCCCAATGTCAGACGCAGGTGGCGCTGTGGGTTAAACCACAGAGCCTAGGACTTGCCGATCAGAAGGTCAGCAGTTCGAATCCCCGCGACAGGGTGAGCTCCCGTTGCTCGGTCCCTGCTCCTGCCAACCTAGCAGTTCAAAAGCACGTCAAAGTGCAAGTAGATAAATAGGTACCGCTCCGGCGGGAAGGTAAACGGCGTTTTCGTGCGCTGCTCTGGTTCGCCAGAAGCGGCTTAGTCATGCTGGCCACATGACCCGGAAGCTGTATGCCAGGTCCCTCGGCCAATAAAGCGAGATGAGCACCGCAACCCCAGAGTTGGCCACGACTGGACCTAATGGCCCTTTACCTTTTGACCCCTTTTACTTCTCTCCCCCTCCCCATATTAATGAATGGGTGGCCCTATTAACAAAATAAAAATGTTAGATCAATTTTAGAAGATGCTTAAGCTCAGGCTTTGCTGAATCTCCGAAGGAAAGAGAATTTCTGGGAAACCACCATCTGTTTTGATGGTATTGCATACATGATAAATAATAATGCTAAAGTCCAGAGCTGAGAGGGTTTCTGGTGAGAAGTCACTGGGAGATGAGAGTGCCAGCTGGGAGGCACTTTTAGAAGCAAGGGATAGAGAAAAGTGCAGCTTCTGCATAGGGGTGACTTAGTCTCAAGAAAGAGGTCTTTGCAAGAAGGCTTCCTCTGAGACCTGGTACGCACATAATGCTAAGACATGGTTGGTTTAAGTCAGGGTTTGCTTAACAAACCATGAGTTTGCCAAGAGTTGTGAAACAGACAACCCAACAAACCATGGCTCGTTTCTCCTGTTTTCCAGCTGCTGTTGCCTCACCTTTGCACTCTGAAGAGTATCTGGTTCCAAAACATGGTTAAGGACTGGTGCTGGGTTCTAACATAAGGCCAAGCAATAGTTTAAAACAAACCAGGGTTGTTAGACAACAGCAAACCATAGCCTCAGATTGTGTTTTGTTGGCAGGAAACAAATAATAGTGAAGCAACTGGGCAGGAATCACACATAACACTAATAACTCATTGTTTAATAAACCATGGTTGAGTGATCTATGTGTGAGCTAGGCCAATGTCTGCTTTCATAGATGATGTACAGACAGGATCATCCAAGATCCTTGGTGTCTCGGGATTCCTCCTTTGATGTTGAAGCATCCAGAACCTAGGGATTGACAATAATGGATCACTAAACTAGGGTTCTCAACATTTCCTGTTTAATAGAAAATGTGGAAAATTCAGTTTCTAGTGCCATCCATCTAATGCCTTTCACCAGTGCCAAAAGTTCTTCAAGAACTGGTTCTCTATGTGTATATTAAATTCCTCCCCTGTGCTACAAGCCCCCACTTCCTACAATGGTGTCTTTAAAGAGCTGACTCGTTTTGTGACCCTGTGCACACTTGCTTGAGGGTAAGCCTCACCTGTTACTTCTGAAGTGCTCAGGATTGCGCCCTCTGATACGTTTGGCATTCGCATGAACCATTTTTGGGGAGCTGATGCTGAAGGTGTACCCAGAG